GATTTACAAGTTGTACCTCTATTTCCATTATTTGGCCCCGACCCTCTGCCCCAAGGGGGGCCGCACCCATCGTTCATACAAATTTGAGTCCCCTTGGCCCAAGGATGCTCCAGACTAATTTAAGATAAAATCCCTAACTTCTTTCGGGAGAAGAAGGATTTAAAAGTCGTACCTCTATTTCCATTATTTGGCCACGACCCTCTGACCCCAGAGGGCCATACCCACCGTTTATACAAATGTGATTCCCCTTGGCCCAAGAATGCTTTAGACTAATTGAAGATAATTCCTTAATTCCTACGGGAGAAGAAGGATTTACAAGTTGTACCTCTATTTCCATTATTTGGCCCCGACCCTCTGCCCCCAAGGGGGGCCACACCCACGGTTTATACAAATTTGAGTCCCCTTGGCCGAAGGATGCTCCAGACCAACTTTGGTCAAATCTACTCGACCGTTCAGGACTAGTAGCGTTTTAAAGGAAAAGTTGACCTNCTACTCGGCCGTTCAGGACTAGTAGCGTTTTAAAGGAAAAGTTGACCGACGGACGGACGGAAGACGGACCAATTGAGCTAATAAAACCACAACAAACTTAAAATGTCGACGGGTCGGGTCGCGGTGGTTAAGGCGTTCTGCTACTGCTAGCCCTCCTCTACCGGTAGTCGCCAGGTACTGGCAGGAGGTCGGTGGTTTGTTTCTCCGGGAACTCCGGCTTTCCTCCACCACCAAAACCTGGCAAGCTTTAATGAACATAGCTGTTTAATAGGACGTAAAACACAAACCAACCGAACGATAGGCTGGAGACTTAAGCAGCAATTGATTCATTCAATGACACATTTGGTCTCTTTTATTTATTATTACTAAATACTGCTGTCCCTAGTGTTATGTTTGAGGAAACACTATCGCTAAAACAAAGATCTAATGCGTATCTGTAATTGTCTCGTCTCTGCGATTAAACAGCAAGCTGTTATAGTCAGATATCGAACAAAATGGTACAAAAGCATTGTCTCGTTAGACTTTGTAATTGTCCACTGGGAGTATTGTCTAACCGCAAGGTGAGCAGACCAAACCACAGTGTCAAGAGGTAGATTTGTCAGCCGATAGGATTTCAATCATATATGGAATATACCATTCTTCGGCTTTCCATTGGTTGAAACCACCACTAACGCCTATCTCTAAAAAGATATGTTTTAATGGCACACATGCAACGGTCGATCTTGATCAATAAGACTAACAACTCTAGTTTCGGACTCCTCGCATACGAGCTGTCTGCGCCGGCCTTGTACAACGCCACATTTGAATAGGACATCGCGGACAACTCGTCGGTAGTTTGTTAAACATCAGGATTATTGCTTTATCAGAAGTGAACGAGACATTCCAGTGATGCACTGCAGCCGTTCTTTCTGTTGCTTATCTAATATGACTGTAACATGCTATGCATAAAAAAAACATCACACGAGTCACGCTCGTAGTTGCGTGTACATGTTTGTTACTTTTGAAATTGTCTCAAAAATCGAATAGTTCGATGCTTTCCTGAATGTTAATATCTATGTTTTGCCAAAACTAGATTATGTGAAATGTTCGGTTCGATTGAGGACTGTTCCAATGTTAACGATATCCATTTGTGTATAAATTGAACGTTCAGGATTAAGTTGTGGTTATATTGTGCTGCCTATTATAGACCAGGGATATGGACACCACTCGAGATTTATGACAGATGTGCAAGGTAACATGATCACCGGTGACCAGAGTTTTCTTTCAGTAGGTAAACACAAGGGAGCAAGTCTTGCAAAGCGTCGGTTACTGATAAACGTAAATATCGATATATAGATAACAAAGACGTTTCGTATTCTACAGGATATAAAAAAGCATATAACATCCTATGTAGCATAGCTTACAAAAGTATAAATAGTATTGGCATTAACCGACAATCTAAAATAGTAGCCATTATTTTTGTTTTGTAATGACTATGATCACATGAGTTTAAATTTCGTTAAAATTCTTTACATTCTTCACTACAGTTGATAAAATAGAATTCTGCCAGTGATATTTTATATGTGTTGATACGCACTGAAAACAGAAAAGATGTACTTACGGTATAAGTAAATTATTCCCCAACAATACAAGACTTTTCTCGTGTAACCGACGCATTGTACAACTGCTATTATGATTGTAAACATATATATGATTTTAGTACAATATATGTATGTTGTATTAACGAAATAAGAATCAATCCCATTGTCATGCTTGCGATCAGACATTTGCGTTAAGATATTTAACAACTGTATGCGCCGATAAAAAATAGCATCCAACTTTTTCATGATGAGCGAACTGTAAAACAATGCTTGATACAGTTTATAGGGTTCAAACATCACAGTTTGTTTTTATAATGTTGGTATAGTGATTATTTTAGAAACATGTGTAGCAATGTAAATTAATTCTTACTTAGAATAGACAAAATGTGTGTGGTTAAGTGTTGCACACCCAACCTTTTTATAAGTTATCTTAAGTATTTTCAAATGTATAATGTTCTAGAATATTTGGTGAAAATCATATCCTTAAAAAGCGTAAATCATGTCCACCTCGTGTGCCTTTAGATAGTAGAACTAACAAATTGATTAGTCGAATATAATCAAAAACCCCGCCAATAAGGTAAATTAAAAAAATAAACTGTTTATAGGACATTATCTAAAAACGTATCAAAAACGTTACCTGTGTAGATTTAATTTCATGAAAATGTTATTTACAAAGGACTCCTTTGACACCGTTTTCCTATCGTTTTAGCCGTTTTGTTAACTATTAAATAAAGATTACGACAACAAATGTTCATGCTCTTGTCTTTTCGCGTCAACTTAACTTTATGGGTTTTCTTCCCATTTCTTCGACTAGTTTTAAAGAACACAGTATTCTCTGTCACTTTAGAAGTTTACCAGCTGAACTTGACGCATTTTTGATTGATTTGTCTGCCTTTCTGCACATATTAAAGATGAATTGGTTGTGTAATATGTCTTTTCAATAAAAGGAGTTGAATTATGCATGGCACAGCACCATTATCAAAATCAAACATTTCGGAAGAATTCTCACGCTGTTGTTTCGAATCGACCCATTATATCATAAAATGTTTTACTATTTATGGTTCAGTGCAAACATGACAATTAGGTTGGTTGTAGTATCGTACAATTGTTCTGTATGTACAGTCGCGAAAACAATATATAGCTTGGTCCTATACTCATGTGGCTTTGTGAAAAACTAATGCTATTATCTTGTCAGACTTATTGAAGAAGATTTACATCGTTTTATTTGTCTACATTCATTTAGGGCGGGCGAAAAGGTTACCAGTATCACTAAGTGGTTTTCGGTGCCTCCTTATACCGTAGCGGGTTACTGGAGGCGGTATTTACTTGAATTAGGACAAGAGCGTGAATTTCTTGGTTTGATTGAGCGTCTTATGAACAGCTAATGTCGTTTTGGGACATATTGTTATAGGAGAGTGATTGTTTCAAAATGTTATCTTTAAAATGCTTATCGCCCCTGGACACCATCTATATACGGAATAAGCTGTTGCAATGACGTCAATACCCAAGCACATCAATCCCTTCGTTTACACCTGTCTTTGTTTGGCCTTGGTACAGAAGTGAGGGGGCGCATAATGGTTTACGAAAACTACAAACATGTCTTGTCCAAGTTAAGAGAATTCAGTGAGATGACATTACAAGTGGTGATTCAGTAATCCCGTTGTTTGTGGTTATTGTCTTCGTGAAAAGCAAAACATATCGGTGCTTTTTCATTGCATTGAAATAAATTAAAACTTAAAGCGCGTCCAGAATGGTTAATTAAACAAAATACATAAATGTAGCACTTTTAAGTGATGCAAGCTCTACCTCTTAACCGATCTGCCCTATGATCATGCAATTAGACGGGGATACAAGGACGAATTTTACGAAGGGCAATTATTTCCTTACATTTCATAGGTCACGTCCTCAGGCAAATACAAAAAATTATTCTTAAAGGAATTAATATCTCAATGTATAAATGTTTTCCCTGAGTCGGTCCTTTGCATTTAAATCAAATAAAAAGAATTTTCATAAAGGTTATCCATGATACAGCTGATTTGGCTCTAATACAAAATATAAACAAAGGTTTCCCATTTTTTTTGTGTATACTGCAAAAGGGACGCATCCGGTAAGAGGGTAATTTGTTTATGAAATTCAAATGTTTTTGATTTCATGAGCTCCACAAATTGATCTATGAATATCTATGTAGAAGTCATCTGGGTGTTCGTAATAGGTCCATAAAATAGATAATTTGTTTGTGTGTTTAAAGTAGTTTGCAGGATCAAGCGAGCTATTACAGCCAATGCCATTTAACGACGTGCTTACATGTGTGTAATGTATGCGTGTGTGCTGAAGGCAGTTTATTCGTGTATTTGGCTGTTACATGTAACAGCACCTCAATTTAACAGGATAAATTAGGACAAATGCTGTTCTTTTTTACTCCTCGTTTCTTTTCCACGGTGTCTTCCAAGGCACACGCCTCCACATGATATTAGATGTGTGCCAGGGAGATGATGGAAATCCCGTGAATGAGATAGGCTACTGCATGATAAAACTAAAGACCTGACAAGTGTGTTTGTGGTGTCAAATACAATAATCCTTCAAAACGTTTTTTGTTTTTAAATTTTAAGGGAGTGCCGCCTCATGTCTTTGCGCTGTCTTTTCGTATCTGTTCCATTCTGATGTTATCCCTTTAAATTTGTCTAGTCTAGCTTTAAAACATTTAACTTTTGATAAATACTAGACATTTATTCAACATCGTTTTGTTTATTTTCACAGGTTAATCGATCCCATAATTCACCATGTTCCAAGGACGGTTCTACCGCGAATATCTTCGACTTCGTTTACAACCTTCTAAAACATTCCGGGGTCCAAATCCCCGAAAACGCAACCGCACCAAACTGTACGAGCATGGATGCATGGCTACCACGAGGCGAAAGCGTGGAAGACCATATGGTCAACAAGGCTGGCCGTATGTTCTACGCATATGTCACGCCAGTTATTCTTTTCATAGGCATACTTGGAAACTGCCTTTCGCTCAATGTCTTTCTGTCGAAGAACATGCGTGGTTTATCAGCAAGTACCTATCTTGCAGCAATATCCAGCTCAGATCTTCTCACTTTGATATTCTATGTGAATGTTGAATGGTTGAGAAGGGGATTGGTTTACTTAAACCCTGATGTGCAAGTACTGTTTTTGGATACGACAGGCGTGTGTCAGTTTCAGCTATATATGTCATATGTTTCACGTTTCTTATCCGCTTGGCTTGTTGTGGCATTTACAGTAGAGCGATATATTGGAGTGTGTCATCCGCTCCGGCGGAGGGATATCTGTACACCAAGTAGTACCCGAAGAATCATCATTACAACATCATGTGTTGCCGTTCTATTGGTAATTTACAAACCAGTGCTGAGTGGTGTACACAAAGGTTCAAGCGGAGGACATCCGTACTGTACAAGCGACCCTGATCACGACTTCCTCTCGTTTGTATTGGATAGCATTTTCGCAGTGCTTATTACACTGGTACCTTTTCTCATCATAACAGTTTTGAATGTTCTTATTATCAGGAAACTTTTTATCAGGAACAAACGGCAGAAGGAGTGCAAGATTGTGACCGAGGAAAGCGTGATTAAACTGGAATTTACTGTCATACTTTTGGCAATTTCATTTTGTTTTGTCGTTTTTAATGTTCCTTACTTCGCTGTGTGGTGTCGAAACTTTCTCCATTCCAAATACGTGTACAAATCTGTGGAGCAGGATATGAGTGACGACATTGAATATTGGCAAGGAATTTTGTATATAACACGAACTATCTTTTATATGAATTATTGTATTAACTTTTTCCTCTACAGTATCACAGGTGCTTACTTCCGGCGTGAAGTGCGCATGCTGTTTGTGTATCGACCCACTGAATTGCGTGGGTCTTATAGTAGGTGTTCTCGTATCAACTCCAATTCACACACGCCCCAGTCGTGGGTTTGACGTATATGGATAGGCATGAAATGTCGTGCCAAGCGGGCATATAAGGGTAATGGGATCCATGTATAGTTTTTCATGCTTTTCTCCTACCATTTTGTACAACTTTTGCTTATGTTACATGCAACGCATGCGTCCTAGAATGCACCAAGTAAAACATATCAGTAAATAGATATATCAAATAAGACTAAAGGAATCCTTTTCACGTTCACATTTGAATACGATGTATTCTTTTCCCGAAATGCCTTCAGAAAAAAGAAATAATTCTGCATATAAATTTATATTATAAGAATAACGTATAAGTATAACTCAAATGTTTCCTATTCCTACATGCGCTATTCCCTTGGTAAAAGTCTAAACATAAGTTTGCCGTTCCGTTCCACTTAAAATGATATACGGTTTCAGATTTCTTACGAGATTCTTGTATGATCTGAAAAGCTTTAATTACAAGAAATGTTTAACTTTATTTGATTTGCTGACTTCACCCTTTTCTTCAGAACATAAGTTCCAGTTAATGTTCTGGCGAGACAGGTTTCAATTATTTTAATCAACATGCAATATACAAGCAATCAACGTCTGCTGTTAAGTGCATTACACACTATTCGACAGGCGCATAAATGATATAAAGAAGTTATTAGTTAACAGTGGTAAGAGAAAAACGGCATCGCGGTCTCTCGGAGTCTAAAACGTTGGACACTATGCGATCTAGGATATCTTCCTTTGCTCCATTAAGATATTTTTTTCAAAACAAGGTAGTTTCATTGCGAATCAATTGCAAAAGATCAATTTTTCAAGAAATTGAAATAAATATCACATCGAATTTTGCCTGACCCGAAATACATGAAAAGTTGTATAATATTACAACTAAAACAATTTGAATGATACAGTCTCCTTGCCGTTAATATGTCATTATTTACATTCAAATGATTTATACGATAAGATATGGTATCATACCTAACAACCAATTTGTTTGCTTCTCATGTGTTTTTGCATCTTTTAGATATTTTAATCATATAGTTTACGTACAGAGATGTCAGGATATGTGGCACACTTAATGACCTGTGGTTTAATCAATCCACTAATACGCATAGCATTTCCTAATTTTTTGAAAACACATGCATAGGAGTGTATTACTTTCTGTGAAAAAGTATTTACACATTTTAACTCTCAAAGTTTATTATCGTCTCCTGTCGGTCATCTGCGTATCTAGGGACCAGCGGGAATCTTTATGTGAAATTTGAGAAAAATCCCTTTAGTATGTTATACGTGAATTAAAATATCTCAGGTGTAGGCTTCCTACACATCAACTCATGATCAGACCCGAGAGGTGCTTTAAACAACGCATTTGTCCTTAATTTCGCAATCTCAACCAAGCTCAGACGTACAGGGGCGTTGTCAGCTTTGCGAGAAAATAAAATATTTTTTAAGTGTAAACAGAACTGATACATTATCGATTGTTTTAGGCTAACACAGAACAAAGAAAAGATTTACAAAAGTGAGCCTTGAAGAAGTACGATAATATCTTCAGTAATGATTGGTAGGCGTCGTCTGATATATAGTCAATTTGCGATATGCTTGCCAGAAAAAAAAACTAATTCAGTACTTGCTTTTTACCTCATTAGTGTGAGTTTTGTGATGTAAGAATGACTAAAAAGGGTGATATTTAAAAAAGAAAAAATCGACAAGATCGTTAAGCTTGTAATTACTTTTATCATGTCTTCTGCAATATTAAAGACATTTCCTCCTCGTTTTGTTGATATACAAGTTTCAATAAGGCGTAATCACAATTTATTTCAATGAAGAGCCGATTTCAATCTTAGAGCTAGGAGGAGAAATAAATTGCTCAAATATTGTCAGAATTCTTTGTTGAAACATACTTTTAACCGACAACAGCATGTGTCGAATGGCTATATATCAATGATTTCTGTTATTAGGGCTGGAAACACTGCAAAACACCATTAAGAAGCAATAGTTTCCAAGGCAGAACATTACCAACGGTGATACATACAATTTGCTTTTAGGTATGGACTGTTCCAGTTCACGTCGTTCAAACTAAATAACACTAATTAGTGGTAATTTAAAACTATAAATATTGGTTTTCCGCAAGGCACCCACGTTTTTGTTTATTTAATAAGGTAGAGCGTGAAACCGAAATTGCGCGTGAATCCTCATTTTTTGATAAAAAGGGCAATTAAGGTGTATATATGTAAATATAAATTTCTTCACCATATTTTTTATGAAATTAAATCAAAAGAAATTTACATGACGGTAAATGTATATCTAGTGTATTGAATATAACGGCTAGGTGATATATGTAACTACAGTGTATTAAACATGACGGTAGAGTGATATCTAGTGTATTTAACATGACGGTAATGTGATAATTGAAGTGTATTTAACATGACGGTAGAGTGAAAATTGAAGTGTATTTAACATGACGGTAAAGTGATACCTGCAGTGTATTTAACATGACGGTCATGTGATACATGAAGTGTATCTAAAATGACGGTAAAGTGATAATTGAAGTGTATTCAACATGACGGTAAGGTGATACCGGTGGTGTATTTAACATGACGGTCATGTGATACCTGTAGTGTATTTAACATGACGGTAAGGTGATACCTGTAGTGTATTTAACATGACGGTAATGTAATAATTGAAGTGTATATAACATGACTGTAAGGTGATACCTGTAGTGTATTTAACATGACGGTAATGTAATAATTGAAGTGTATATAACATGACTGTAAGGTGATACCTGTAGTGTATTTAACATGACGGTAAGGTGATACCTGTAGTGTATTTAACATGACCGTCATGTGATACCTGTAGTGTATTTAACATGACGGTAATGTAATAATTGAAGTGTATTTAACATGACTGTAAGGTGATACCTGTAGTGTATTTAACATGACGGTAAGGTGATACCTGTGGTGTATTTAACATGACGGTCATGTGATACATGTAGTGTATTCAACATGACGGTAAGGTGATACCTGTAGTATATTCAACTTGACGGTAAGGTGATACCTGTAGTGTATTTAACATGACCGTCATGTGATACCTGTAGTGTATTTAACATGACGGTAATGTAATAATTGAAGTGTATTTAACATGACTGTAAGGTGATATCTGTAGTGTATTTAACATGACGGTAAGGTGATACCTGTGGTGTATTTAACATGACGGTCATGTGATACATGTAGTGTATCTAACATGACGGTAAAGTGATAATTGAAGTGTATTCAACATGACGGTAAGGTGATACCGGTGGTGTATTTAACATGACGGCCATGGGATACCTGTAGTGTATTTAACATGACGGTAATGTAATAATTGAAGTGTATTTAACATGACTGTAAGGTGATACCTGTGGTGTATTTAACATGACGGTCATGTGATACATGTAGTGTATTCAACATGACGGTAAGGTGATACCGGTGGTGTATTTAACATGACGACCATGTGATACCTGTAGTGTATTTAACATGACGGTCATGTGATACATGTAGTGTATTCAACATGACGGTAAGGTGATACCGGTGGTGTATTTAACATGACGGCCATGGGATACCTGTAGTGTATTTAACATGACGGTAAAGTGATAGTGCATTTGTTGTTATTATGGTTCTTGAATTGTATTGGACATGATGTTACACTCCAGTCTGTAGCAATTTCCATTATCCGCTGGTTAAAAATGCCACTTCCAATGTATTCAAACGTTTTTTGGTCTAAATAAACAATAATAATAATTAGTACTTAATATTAATACTTATCCATTTTTAAAAAAGAATCGTCATTTAATGTAAATAACGATTTAAGTAATTGTAATATTTTGTGTGAAAAGCAATGTTTGATTTAGCGCTACAAACTAGTATTTAAAAAGTTGAAAGTCTCTATAATCTTTGAATTGTGTTTTATTCCAAAATTTGCTATGAAAAACATCTCTAAAATCTGCACTCGTAGTTTTGCGTTACAGATTAGAACTAGCAGCAAGATTAAGAATTTACGACGAAGTAAATATAAACAATCTTCATATCGAAATATCTTCTAATCTTTCGGTTAATGGTGGCATTCAGAAGAAATCAAGTCGTATTATGTCTTTGGAACTCGACTGTTAGCGACATAATCGGGCCCCAAGAGTACAGAATGATGCCGTGAAGTAGTCGTGATGTAGATGTATCCATCACGTAGTTAATTGCTTCAAATTAGACACCGTCTTATAGCAGTAACATTAAGTTGTATATAATGGTAGGGCTTCCTGCCTGTCTGGTTACACATCATGCCTATCCATATACAGAGCTTACCTATATTTGCATATCATTCCAGATGATCATAAAGTAAACCTCGTTATACACCCGACATGTGTCAATGGTGATTTTTAATGTATTGAAGATGTAGTACAAGGGAAATACATTTAAAAAGAAAAATGATACATGGTTTAATAGTGGCAGTTATTGTTGTGGGAAACGAAATTAGGGGCATTATATCGAGGTTTTACAAGTCTATTGACATACCATGGTGTATGTGTAAATCGAAATACCATGGATGAATGGTAGCATATTTACATTATTTGTATTTATAATGATTTTATGAACATTATAATTAAAATATTGAAATGTGTTTTTATTGTGTAATAGTATATGCCACATATTGCATCACAAGTCGTTATTGATATAATTTATTTTCAGAGTCTATACTAATGAAGTACAGGTCACATGTGATTTTACAAGCCTAAGATCTCTTTAAATAGGGCTTTCTATTTGTTTGCCCTCGTCACGGAGGACGACAAAGGCGAAAATTAAAGTGACGAAAAGTTCACGGTATATTATAGGTCTGCTCCATCAGACAGTTTCTTAATGAAAGATTTAACTATTTGGAACCGCCTAACACTTTTGATTTCAATATTCTGCTTTGGCGGTGGCACTGAATAAAACAAAAATGATATACTGCAACTATCGCAACACTTTTGATTCGTATCTGTTATTCCTTATCTCACTTCTTCA